ACCGGCACATCCACATAATACATACATCAGTGGTGTCATTCTGATGTTGGGACACTCTGGATTTCATGTTGATAATATTTATCTGTAACTGGAATACCAAACGAGTCACATATTTTCCAGTGAACGTAACTAGCTACATTGTTATGTCTAGCGGTATACTCTGAAGGGGCTAGTACTTGGCAACCTGCTACTATATGGCTCATGTGTTCGTCGGACTGCCCATATTCTGCATTTACTGTCTATACTTTGTTTTAGTATATACTTTTGGTGGTACCTTGTATTTAATGCTTGATCTTGTGCAGATACTATCAGAGCTTCTGTTTCCGCTTTCAGCGTAGAGCTTCTCAACCAACTGACACTTCCACGTTTATCTACCTCTGTTCTCTCGAGTTGTCGGAAGAACTGTCCGTGCAATGGTTTCGAGGCTACTTTTGCTAGTCTGCCACTTTCAGCGACGTTCTTGATCTTGTCGATTGAGTTTCTGTTGGAGTCTTCGCCTCCTAGACGTTCCGACGTAATCTTCTTCATCTCTTTCTGGATGGAGTATTTGCAAAGGCCATTGTCCCATTTTTTCACTATTTTTGATAGTTGTCCTTCCCTTGGGTTATATATTCTCCGAGACCAACCATAGATGTTTCATATAGAGCTTCAATTTCTACCATTCCGCGTCCTCCATTGCGCCTCTTTACATATAACCTGTCCACGTCAGCCTTGGGATGGTGTATATGTGCCATTGTCAGCAGCTTCCTGGTTTTCCGGTCAATTCTCAGTAATCTGACTTCAGCCAATTGACAATTCCAAAGCTGTAACTTAGTACAGGCACAGCGAAAGAGTTGATTGCAGATATTTTATTTTTGGAGCATAACTCTGTCTTAAGAATCAGGCGCACACGACGGTAATACTCCCTCGATATTCTGGATTTGGCATGTTCATCTTCGATTCCATCTGCTTCTTCAATGCCTAGATATTTATAGGTTTCTTCAGGCTCCATGTTCATTATTGTTGTTGCTTTATCTAGAATTATATTCTGTGCCTTAGTGAGTTTTCCCCTTTTGAATATTGCTGTTGCACACTTATCCAGTCCAAATTGCATATTTATATCATCCGAGAATGTTTTTACTGTCATTAAAGCGCGACGCAAATCGTTCTCATTTTGGCAAATAATTTCAGATCATCCATGTATAACAGATGATTAACTGTATTGTTTGCGTCTATAACAAAATCAGTTTTTTCTCTGTTAAGCATACTGGTCAGTGGAATTAGTGACATGCAAAACAGTAGGGGGGAGAGAGAATCGCCTTGAAATATGCCTCGCTGAACGCCTATATGTCCGGTTTTTATGCATCCCTTAGTCTGATATAGATGCATTTCGGTTTTCCATGTTTTCATTGAGCATTCTATGTACCTTTGTATAGTTGGACAAACTCGATATAGTTGCAGTACTTTCATAATCCATTCATGCGGTAGACTATCAAACGCTTTACGGTAGTCGATCCAGGCCATGCATAAGTTTTTCCTTCGTGTTTTTGCCACACTGACTACCATTTTGCTGACTAAAAGATGATCTTTACACCCTCTTGTTCCTTTCCTGCTTCCTTTTTGCTCGTCAGGGTAAATGTTGTGGTTAAGTAGATGTTCGTTAATCCTGTTAGCTAATGCTGCTGTAATTATCTTGTACATTGTACTCAGGCACGTTATAGGGCGATAATTTTTGGGGTCTTTCGTATTCTTTCCTTTGGATAAGAGCACTGTAGTTCCGGATGTGAGCCATGAGGGTGCATCTTCTGGATGTTCAATAATGTGATTGATGGCAGCTGTCATTGCGCTGTGAAGGGCTGAGAATTTTTGATCCAAAAGTTTTGCAACCTATCTGGTCCCGGTGCTTTCCAATTATCTGTGCCTTTTATTATTGTGGTTATTTCTGGTGTCGTTAACTTGACGTACTGTTGTTCTTCAATACTTTGGTATTTGCTTTCTTCTTGCCTTATCCACTCAGCATTCTTGTTAAAGCTTGCTTTATTTGGTATATACCTTTCCAAAAGCTAGCAATATCATCCGGTGTCGGTGGTTCATTGCTAACATTCCTTTGTCCATTAATTTGTCTGAAGAATTTTTTTGCGTCAGAGTTGAAAGTCTTATTGTGAAAATAATAGTTGCTTCGTTCCGTATATCGCTTTAACCTTTGTGATTTTGCTTCCATTTTCATTTTTATATTTAACTCAAGTTCATCTATGTTGGTGTACGAGTTGTAGCGTTGCCATATTTGTTCCGTTTTCTTTAGAATGTTATAAGTGGGGACTCCTTTCCTATATTCATGTAATATTGCAGTTCCGATCTGTATGCATCTATATGCTTCTTTATTCTGATCTTCCATGACGGCTCTCTTGTATCTCGTACAGTGTTTGTTCTGTGTTCCTTCACCTGCAATTACAGCGGCAGCAGCGTACATCAGGTCATTAATGTCTTGAATACTTAGAGTATGCTCTTGAGCTATTCTGGTGTATATGACGTTCACGTTGTCAATTTTTACTTGAAGCGCCTTGGTGGCTTCTACCTTATTCAGCGCTTTTCGTTGTGTAATTGAAGTGAGTCCTCTAATTTCTTTCAGTTTTTCATAAATTTTGTCTTCCAGTTCTTCTCTATTTCTGGATCTGTTTGACAATGCACATAATAGGCTAGTATTGTTGATCTGTGTGTGTATTAGTTGTATTTGAGCGCTGTTCATGGTGAGTATCTATTTGTAGTGGAAGCCCATGAGTTGGTATAGGTCTATCGGTTGCTGCTTCAGATACAGCAATTGCTAATTTTACTTTTTCCTTTATACTTGTAATCTCACTAGTACTTAGCTTATTACTGTTGATTATGTACCTTGTTTGGTTAGCCAGTGTTTTCGAGTTAATGTGAGGGAATAATGTTGGATTCTCTCTCCTCCATAATCTATATGTGTTTTCTGTCGTTGATCCTCTTTCGTGACTCTTGGCATAGTAGTAGCAGCGCATAACATCTTTGTACTGTTCAATCGTCCATTTCTGTCTTTGTTTCTTATTTAAGTCTAACGATGTTGTTTCCATACCAGATGGGCCAGGCTGAGAGCTTATCTCGAGTTGGGTACCATCTGTATTTATTTTTCATTTTCAGTAGGTTATTATTATTATTATTATTATTATTATTATTATTATATTATATATATTATATATTATTATATATTATTATTATTATTATTATTATTATTATTATTATTATTATATATTATATATTATTATTTATTATTATTATTATTATTATTATTATATTATTATTATATTATTATTATATATTATTATTATTAATTATATTATTATTATTATTATTATATTATTATTATATTATTATTATATATTATTATTATATTATTATTTTAAATAGCCGTAGGGCTTTGTTACTCCCGTTAATCGGGGTGTTCTGGCTTAACCCGGACGCTTCAAGCATCAAAGGGGTAAGCCTCAATAGTGACCTCCCTAGGTACTTGCATTTCCCATAAATTTTCTTACTATGCGGGCAGTTGCCAGCAAAACTCCTTTCTGTATGATTTTGTAAATGTTTTCACTCAGTTCCAGCGCTTTGATGTTTTCTAGCAGCCTTCTTGGTATCACCCCTGTAGATGACATTATTATTGGTATTGTTTCCACGTACTTCATTTTCCACTGGCGTTTAATTTGAAATTCTAGCTCCCTGTATTTTGCAACTTTCTCATTATGTTTGTATGTTAAATTGTTACTATTAGGTATGGCCACATCAATCAGTGTTACTTTCTGGGCGTCCTTGTCGACAATGATTATGTCAGGTCTGTTTTGTTTTACGTATTGGTCCGTAAGCACAGTGCGATCCCAGTATAGTTTATACTTGTCGTTCTCGAGGACACATTGCGGTGTATATTTGTAGTACTGTAGCTTGCATTCGATCAGTTTGAATTTGTATGCCAACTCCTGGTGAATGATTTTGGCAGCTATGTCGTGGCGCTCCTTATAGTCCGTTGGAGCGAATGCTTGGCATCCACCAGTTACGTGCTGTATTGTTTCGGAGTCCTGACAGCCGTACCTGCATTTATCAGACTGTTGCAAGTTCTTAAGTATGAACCTCTTGTAATTGTTGGTAGGAATGACCTGGTCCTGTATAGCTACAAGGAATCCCTCAGTCTCAGGGAACATTTGGCCTGAGGTAAGCCAATAGTTTGACGCTTTCTTGTCAACGTTTTCTTGGCTAATCTCGTTGGCATGTCTCCCATGTAGAGGTTTTTCAATCCATCGTTGTAGCTTCTGTTCGTTGGTTTGGTGACTCGGTTGGTCATCTCGTCTATAAGGTGTAAGGGCGTTGTGTCATCTATTGAGCATATGATGCGATGCAGCTCAGAGATCTCGGCCTTCTCAAAGAAGTAGGATCGCAAGGCGAGTACCTGTTGAGCTAGCTGCTTGCTGATGTCCATTAGACCTCTTCCTCCTAACTGTCGGGGTAAGGTTGTGCGCTCTATTGCACTGCGAGGATGGTGCGCTCCTTTTTTTGTTAGCATAGTCCTTACCCGCCTCTCTAGTTTCTCGATGTCAGTTTTACTCCACAGAACTATACCGAACGAGTAGTTCAAGGCAGAGCATGCGTAGGTGTTAATCGCCTTGACTAGATTCTTACTATTGAGTTCTGTTTTCAGAAGTAGCCGTATTCTTTTTGTGAAGGTCTGCGATATAGCTTCCTTCATTTTTTTATGGTCTATCCTTCGGGCCTGCGCCATTCCAAGGTACTTGTATGTGTCATTTGCGTCCATTGCGTCAATGTTTTGGCCTCTGCAGCTTGAAAATCCTCCAGGGTAGATGTTCCCCCTACGTATAGATAAGGTTTTGCATTTATCCATCCCAAATCGCATACTTATGTCATCTGAGAACTGACCGACTATCTCTAGCAGCTGTTTCATTTGATTCTCAGTAGCAGCTATTACCTTTAGGTCGTCCATATACAGCAAGTGGTTCAGTTTTATGGATGCGTTCCTGTTATCTTTCAGACTATATCCATACCCTGTTGCATTTAAGAGGTTTGAGAGGGGATTTATAGCTAGGCAAAACCATAGGGGACTTAATGAATCACCCTGAAAGAGACCTCTTCGGATAGAGATCGTCTCAGTTTGAATGGTGCTGGTCCCGTTTGTATGCAGTGTTATTCTGGTTCTCCAGGTCTTCAGCATATGTTCTAATAGGGCCACTACATGCTCATCTACCTTATAGAGCCTCAGCACCCTGACAAGCCACTCATGAGGTACAGAATCGTATGCCTTCTGATAGTCGATGTACGTAATGTATAGGTTCCTTTTGTTGTTAGGGCTTGGTTACAGATGACTGAGTCGATAGCCAGCTGTTCTTTGCATCCCATAGCTCCCTTAGCACAGCCTTTTTGTTGTGGCGCAATAATATCGTTTTCTTCACAATGAGCATAAATTCGCTTCGATATACAAGCAGTGACCACCTTGTATAGCGTAGGAAGGCAGGTAATTGGGCGGTATTTTGCTGGGTCTTCTGTATTATTGTGATCTTTTGGTATTAATACCGTTAGCCCTTGTGTTAGGAACGTTGGAGTCTTATTTGGATTCAAAAGCATGTCATTGATATATCTTGTTAGTTGTTCATGCATGCACCAAAGCTTCTTTATCCAGTAGCCATGAATCTGGTCTGGGCCCGGGGCCTTCCAATTATGCAACTGCTTAACGATATCCACGATTTCTTGTTTGGTATATGCCCTATACTGCATGGGATTGCAATAATGGCTCTTCGCTTCTTCATCTGTAATCCATCCTGCACACTTGTTGTAATAAGCTGTCGAGCCAAACTGCTTGCCCCAAAATTCCTCTACTTGGTCCTTTGTGGGCACCGTTTTGCTCTTTTCCTGGGGTTCGGATGACAGTTTCCTGTAGAATGCCTTTTCGGATCGTTGAAAGAGCGCATTGTCGTGCTTTCTGTGACTGGACGCTTTATACCTTTTCAATCGCTGAGTATATACGGACAGTTTTTGCTTCAAGGTATCAAGGCATTGCCACTCGTTGATGTTAGTTGCGTCTTGGTGAGAATGATGGTGGAGTCGTTGCATTATTTCCATAGCTTGCTTTCGGACTTTTCGAGTTGTTATTCCTCGTGTGAATTGGGTAAGACGTCCGATATCTCTGCGAATTTCTGCCGTTCTTCTTTCCAGACGTTTTTCCCATTTTGGTGTTATTGGTTTTACTGAATTTTCAGTAATCTTTTGAGTTGGCATTTTGACACCAAGTGTTCTTACTGTTGCAACAGCTGCACAGTATATCAGTGTGTGAAGTTGTTCTATACAGTTGGAGTGTGCTAGATACTCTGGCAGGATCTGTTTATTTAACTGACACAATACCACAGCAAGCTTTCTAGATGACTTCAACTTTGGTAATGGTGGTCTTTCTAGCGGGTTCGTTCCATCAAATTCGGCATATGCTCTACCCATTTCAGTTATTAATATACCAAATATTTCTGTGTCTTGATCATTACTGTCGTCAACTCCAGGCTGTTCACTTTCTATCTGTTCTTGCTCAGATTGACCATTATCGCGTATTTCGTTATACTCCCTTCTTGTTGCATAAGATCAAGCTGCACTTCCTGTTTGATGGCATTCAGCCGTGGTTGTGGGATAAGATTATTTTTGATTATCACTCGATATTGGTCTGCCACTCTCTGCTGAGATACTTTGATCTCCGGATATTCACTACAGAAAGCGGTATGAAGTCGTGGTCTGTAGCCGATTGTTTCTCTACCTAGGTTGGTAACTTTGTAGAAGATTCGCATGATTGACTCATTCATGGACACCGTCCACTTTATACGTCTTCTAGGGAGACCTGCTTGAGTGAGCACTGGCTGAGATTCCTGTGCAGCACTTTCGGCAGCGGTGGCACTAGTTGTTGTTTGGCTACCACTTTGTTGGGGGGCTGTTGCTTCTTGGACGACAGGGGCCCGCCTCCTCAGCACCCTGCCACCGACGTCCCGCATGCTGTCATATCCAGCGCCGGCTCCAGATATGCCCTGACGATCACCCTCAGGCAGCGACCTTTTTCCGAGGCTATATTCAAAATTCATCTCCATAAAGAAATTATGGGTGTGGCTCTTTTTATACGACTCCATCTAGGAGCCGATATGTACACATTCTGCACATGATATGTTTTCCTGCACCAGGAGGAAGAGACACAAAAACCCCTGGCACACACTGGAGGATCGCTGGCTGTACCGTCTATCCTTGTTGTTGCTACGGTAGCGGGTTTG